TACTCAGTGTTATTACATTTATGGTGAGAGTTGTTAGTGTTACAATTTACGCTCAATATTAGCGTCAATGTTTTTAGTGTTATGTTCTAATTATGCTCAATGTTATTAGTGTTACATTATAACTATGCTTAGTGTTTTTGTGGTATGCTCAGTGTTGTTAAGTGTTATATTAGGTATTTTCTCTCTCCTTACCACGTGTTTTTATGGTATAACTGAATAGCACCTCCGGTTTGCAACCGGGAGATCCGGTCTTCGAATCACGGCGAGAGGACTGCGCACTTTTCACGTCTCCTAGATCGATAAACATGGCGACTCTACCTTATTAAAAAAATCTGAAATAGACAAATTTTTGTCTGTGATAAAATCATGAGTTCTTTTTTCACACAATGTATTCAGGTATCCATTAAAAATGAGAAATTTTAAGTGCATATTTGACTTGAAAAGAGAGGAGTGTTTTTTTATTCAAATCTAAATATTAAACAGCACTTGCACGATGATTTAACAATCCGTAAAATTATGGAAAATAATTCATAAAATTCGAGCAAAGTTTGTACTTGGATTTATGTGATATTATAGGATCAAAACTGAGGAATCAAACTTGTATATTATAAAGATATTAGTATCAAGAAAATAAACCTATGAGGTATTTCTCCCGCCTTCTTAACGAACCTTCGTGGTGTAGTGGTTTACACAATGAGCCGGTATCCAGAGGTCCGCGGTTCGATTTCCACCGAAGGCGTTGTTAATTTTTCATCTTTCCTGCTTCCAAATTACCTTGTAGAGACATTACGTAATTTGGTGGAAGCAGGCGAGATGAAAAATTAGCAACCGACTTCACCGGGAATCGAACCCTGGACCTCTGGAATACCGGCCCAGTGTGCAGAACCACTACACTACGAAGGTACGCTAGGAAGGGGGGAGAAATACCTTATATACTCCCCCTTTTAAAAGACGACGGGGGTCTTTTAGGGAACCCAATCGCCAAATCCTGGGTGAGGAGAATCGTCATTCAACACCCTTTTAGTTCGGGCGCCACTGTAGAGCCATTACGATTATTTTTGGAAGCCGGAGAGATGAAAAACTTGCAAATGCCTTTGCCAGGAATCGAATCGCGGACCTCTGGATACCGGCCCAGCATGCAGAACCACTACACCACGAAGGCACGCTAGGAAGGTAGGAGAATTACCTTATAACCTAATGACTCTACAAACCTATGGAATCTTCAGAATACCTTGCAGAACTAAATGTTTACAAATTATTTGTAAGCGGCCTTTCTTAATTTCTCTATAACAAATTAAATATATTCAAAACTGTTCACGTTGTTAAATTGTGAACGCCGCAGGATATTGAGATAACACTATACATTTTCCTTTTTAATGTTTTTAAAATTCCAACCTACACCGGACTCTTTCATTCTTACGATACTTTGTAATTTCTACTGATTGATTTGCATATAAGCAAAGTGTCATAAATGAAATACCAAGTTACGAGATGCTTCACATTAATACACATAGCTTCAGAAACTGAAGAAAAAACTAATTAACTATATACATCCATTCAAATTTCTGTCTGTTTAGTACCAAATCTGACAACGTTTCATATCAAAACATGTCATTAATTCCTAAACTGTAAATGTGACAGCAGATTCTTTTTGAAAATCTGCAATGAACGACATTTCTTAATTTCTCTATAACAAATGGCAATCAAAACTTTTCCAAATAAAAGAATTAGGAGGAAAAACGTATCGCAAACACTAATCATTTGATTTCTGAATTTCTTTTAATGACAGTCCTCTTTCTTCTGTATAAGTGATGCATTTTGATATAACAGTTATTTTTTTTTAATATATAGACGTAACAAACAGCTTAACTTCGATAAGCTGTTTACCTTGACAGAGATACTGCTCACTAATGGAAGATCTTTTTTTTTTTTTTTTTTTTTTTTCAATAACATGTGATTGGTAACTTGTATTCATCGGAATAAGGAAGTTTTTAAGCTCTTCCATCAGTTCGCATCTGTTGTGCTTATTCAAGTAATTAAGTTACTTTCGTGATAAGCATTGACGTAATCTGATTAACAATTATTAGCACCAGTGCTGCTATTCTCACTTTTGTGTTCGTATTACTTTTTAAATAAAAGGACACTGCTATCAAATGTAATCACCATGTACCATTTTAAAGAAATAACATAACAAATAAAGTAAATGAATAAATAAATAAAAAAAAAGAAAAGAAAATCTGAAATGTTTCAGATTTTAAATTACGTCCAAAGGGGCTTTTTTTAACATTTTGTGTGTTACATTTATTTATTAAATATCACGTTCTTCGCACTTAAATCATAAAATTCAGTTCAACAGCAATATCGCAAAACAGTTTTAAAATGAGCATATCTTTTCATATAGAATTTCCGATACAGAGACTGCCGCGCTGGAGATAATTTTTTTTTTTTTTTTTTTTTTTTTTTTTGTTTTGTTTTTTTCTGTACAAAGTTGCCATGGCTCGCTTTGAAATCCTTGAGATTGTTCATCAAAGATTCGTTAAAATTTTACAAAATAGAAAATCGATCATAAAACAAATTCCAGATTTCAAATTTATTCTTCCACATGCACATATTAGTAGGATGATTACGTCATTCAAAATTCGATGGCTCTATGTACCGTTGTTTTATCACAATGCAAGAAATATACATACATTTATGCAGATTTTTCATTATTTAATTTCTTTAACTATAACACAGGGCGGTAATATTTTGTGGCAACAGTTTCAAAAGTGATTCGCCGTTTGTAGTGAATCGACGCAAAATCGCAAAACGAAAGCAGTAGTCCTTCAGGGCAAAGCCCTTTTGGACTAATAAAAATCTGAAAGCTTTCAGCCTCTATATTTCGCCCAAAGGAGAATTTGTTTAACGTTTCGTGTGTTACCTTTATTTATTAAATACCATGTTCCTCGCACTTAAAACATAAAATTTAATTAAACAGCAATTTCGCAAAATAATTTAAAAAGAGCATATCGTTAGAATTTCCAATACACAGTCTCGCGCGCTAGAGATAATTTTTTTTTTTCGCAGTGTTGCCATTGCTCGCTTTGAAATCGTTGAGTTTCTCAACCAAAAATTCGTTAAAGTTTAATAAAATCTGAAATAAATAATGAAACAAATTCCAAATTCAAGCGGAGGACTATGTTATTCAAAATTCGATGTCTTTTGGTACCGTTGTTTTTTCACAGTGCGAGAAACATACCTACATTCATGCAGATTCTTCATTATTTAATTTCTTTAAATATAATGCGGGGCTCTAATATTTGACGGCAACAATTTGAAAAGTGAAACGCTGTGTATAGTAGAAAGTTGCCTCTTTGGGCTAAAAACGTGTGGCAACACAAATAAAATAATGTTGCCACCAAACGTTATCGCCGTGTACTATTTAAAAAAGGAACGAATAACAAGCAAAATTAATTTTTGATATGAACTCTTACATGTTCACATGTATTTTATACATAAATTATCAGAAGTAATTATGTGTTACTAATTATACTTATTATACTAACGAGTTAATATACTATATATATTATATATTATAAACGAGAATTAATAATACGCTATATACATAACGCTACATGCATACGATACATAACGCTAAAGTAGAAATAACAATTATGTACCAGTTAATATTATACAGTTACAAAATATAAATATCGTTACAAATTGCTGAGTGCTGAATTTAGGAAAAATAAAATAAATAAAAAATAGTCTGAAAAGTTTCAGATTTTAAGGGTGGCTCTAAAAAGGCTCTCTTTGTTAAGGTGTTTTCTGCGATCTTCTTGAGCTTGCGATTTACCAGTCTGCTCTTGCACTCACTCCTGCTAACCCATTTCTTTTTTCTTTTAGCTTAATTCTTATGCATCGTTTTCTTCGGACTTACGACACATACAGTTCAACAACAAAATCACAAAATTTTTTAAAACTGCAGAGGAGTTTATCTGCAGAGGAGTCGGTATTGTGTTGATGTTAACTTGTTGAGAGCACACGAAGAGAACTAATTTTTTTTTTTTACTGCTCAATAATCTCTCTCTCGAACCGTTCTTAATTACTCTTATTTTCGAGAACGTGAATTTGAAGAAGGCATCACCAGTGCTTCAAAGCAGTATATGGGCTCCTTGTTAGTTCCTACCTCCATGGCCAAAACATAGACTAGTCCAAAAGGGGCGTTATTACTTGTTGGGAAAATGAAAGGTCACGTGAAGGTCTTCTCTTCTCGGGGAAAGAGAGATTTACGCTCCAGGGAAAGTCCCCATCCTTCCGCCCATTTTTGAGAATAATAACCCGGCCGGAAAGGCGCATACATGTTTGCGCTCATGATCGGCGATGAGACGGTAAAACTATATTTCTCTACCTTATTTTCTTCACCACATGCATGCAAACCTTAAATTTGTAAAAATTGCATTATAAAAGGAAATTTTATTCATGAATGTTTATGGAATTTGCTTTACTCGTATCCAGAGCCTGACTAAGGCAAGGACATGCGGGGTAGTTGCCCCGGAAACCCCACGTCAGAGGGAATCGAATAGAAAATTTATTATTATAATAATTTAAATACTTCCATAAAGTTTGGCTGTTCATTGCTGAAGTAGTGAAGCAGAAGGGGGGGGGAGGGTGCCCAAAGAAGTTTTTGTTCCGGGCCCCAATTAGGTTAAGTCGGGCAATGCTCATATCTTAGTTTCTAGATATCCACTTTAATTTATTTATTCTATTCTAGTTCTATAACAAGTGTGATTTTCGTGAATTTTATTTTCAGTAATAATGCTAATAATTTCGAAATTTTTGACTTATTTGCATGTACTTGCTGTGTCATTGATGCAGGTTACCCAAAAAGTACTTTCGGTCATTTCAAATTTCTGCAAAATAATAATTTTCCAAATCTGTCTACTGCGCAACACGAATTCTTGCTACTCGCGGGAGCTCCCGTGACGTCATCTGACAGGGGCGACCTCTTTTCCCGCATCTAATTGTTGCGCACGAGACCGTAGAATCACTTTCACTGTGAGTGCCGAAGGTGATCGTGAGCGGGAAGAGAGAGAGCGCGAGGATTAAACATGGAACGGTTGTTTAAATCTGTCGAGCATTATCCCGACCCCCATGATGCCGAAATAATAGGTAGGCATTAATGCCATTCTTTTCAGTAATGTATTTCCATTTTTAAGGAGAAAAAACTAAATATATTGCTTTTTGGTTAAATAACCAGCTACCATCTAATTTCATTAACGGCGTTTCAAATTGCAGAGCTCAAATTTTTTAAATATAAATGGAAATTGATCTTTATAATATAGACTTTTCAATTTATCGATATTGTATTGCAAATTTATAGCATGAAATTCAATTCTTTATATTTTGTGCAGATATGTACGGTACGAATAATTAATTGAAAAGAACGGCTCTTACGTGGCCGGTTGTAATAAACTTGACGAAATTTTAAAATTGTAAATTCAGCTCTAGTTAATATATGAAGTGTTTTTAGGTTTATAATAATTAGCCTTATGATTTGGAGACTTTAAATTTTATTGTCATGATAATAAAGGTAGTAATCCTTTTAAAATCACTTTTAACAAGTAGATAATAGTAGTAGTAACGAGTAGATTTTAACAAGTAAAGTTTTGTGTAAAATGCAGTTTGACTTCCAAAAAATAAATAAAAAAATAGCGGAATGTGTTAATAATATAATAGAAGTACTAGTTAAAGCAAATTTCTTATTCTAACAGGTTTTTGGGCTTAGTTTTGTGAAACCTGAAAGTTTAGCGCTTTTCGACAACTTGTTTAGAGAAAAATATATTTCGCAATTTTTATGCTGAAATCAAAATTTGTTTAATGATGTTTTATTTAACACTTCGGTTTCATAATCCCGAAATTTAAACTCCATATATATCGTGCACTTGCGTAGAAGATTTTTGACTCTATAACATCAACTTGTTTGATGGGAGAAAAGAAACCCGCCGAAGTCAAAATAAACAAAACAATCTTCTACTTGGCGTAGATTTTGTTCGAAGAGTTTCAATTAAAATTTACGCCTTTGCTGTATTGCTTATTTGAAAATCAATGTGTATCTTTGAAGTCTTAATTTTTTAAATTAAGTAGATGAACTAAGTTTTCTGTTAAAAGATATTTTAAGGAAGCAATTTTGAATTTTCCTAGATTGTTCAATTATACATAGAACGATACATTTTAAGTTGTTTAAATTTCTCCAAGTATTATTATTTGCGTGTTCCGTCTAAAAGCACAACACGGAAGGAAGGGATGCCTTCGTGAAGGACTTCCTAAAAAGAAAACTGACACGCATTAACACGTTACACATGGGGAAAACCATGAAAACGCGCATGCAGCTAGCACGTTTGCGGGATTCGAAAGAAAGACCGAACGACCAGTGTTCAGGGACTTTACCGCTTTGCTGCTAGTGGGCCAATTTCTCAAAGTAGAACCGCATTTTTTTAAAACTAAAATTGTTTTTTGCCTCTGGAAATTTTTTTATAATTAGTTATAATGTAAATGTATCCTAATTCAGTTCTATATGAAGTCGGTACAAATATTTATTATCAGTGATGTAATTCAAGGTAAACTTAATTTATAATTTGTAAATCGATGTTCAAGGTTTTAAACCATCGTTTTTTAAAGCAAAATTATCTTTTAAATGCTATTCATATTTAATCGAATTTGAATATAAAGGGTCAATTTCTAATTGCAGAAGTGAAGCGTTTAATAAGATTCTATCACATGCCCATTAGTAATCTCCGCCTGTACGATTTTCATATGCATCCATATCAATGAATGATTTAAGTAGTAGCGCGAATCTCGGTCACGAGAGAAGTCGCGTTCCAAGTTTGCACTGTCATGGTTTTTTTTTTTTTCTTATAAAAAGGAAATCTCCCCTTTTGTTATGAGGGACCCTCAAAAGTTTAGGAGTTGGGACCGCCTCCCACTTTGTAAATTCGGCTCTAGTTAATATCTGAAGTGTTAATAATTATCCTTATGATTTGGAGACTTTTTGTGTAATGTTGGAAACGGAATATGGAGAAAATTTAGCTTTAATTATTAGGTAAACCTGCACTAAAATTTAGCTCAAGGCTTTAGATTTCACGCTATCTGTTAAATTTAATTTCTGTTTAACTTCGTAAAAAATAAACACATTAAAGTGTCGTGCCAACTCTACGAAACAAAACATGAAACGTGGAAAAGTGAATTAAAACACTGTATTCTTAAAAATATTGTGTTTAGATAAATGTAAAAATATATTCCTAAAGCACCATTTCCTTCACGTTTTTAAGTTCACTGTTATAAATTTTCTCCGTTTAAGTGTTTTAAGCTTTGCGAAGTTTTTAAAGTTGAGAGAATTGAGCGATTTTTGTCGTATTTCGAATTATTAAAATTATTGCTCCTGATGTTGCGACTTGGCTCATTTATCTGACAGGATCATTAAAACAAGCCCACGAAATTCATCGGTGCAAGGAGTGAAAGATTGCGCCTGCCTTTGCTCAGTTCCGCCCCCAAAGTCGAAGAGCACCGCCGGGGGGTGATTATTGTTACTGAATAGTATTTATTAAATAGTCGCACATTTCAGAAATTTTCTGCTTTCGTTATGTCTATAAAACAACTTCAAAGCTTTTTCATGTACTAAAACACTTAAATCATAAAACATTAAACTGTTTTTCTCTTTTTGAAATGCTTATGAAGTGGGGAAAATTTTAGCTGAGTTTTAGCACCGAGTTCGATACCTTTATTTTTTGTCGTCATTAAAGTTTTAATATTTAACCCTTCAAGATTTTTCACTGAAGTTTTAAGACAAAACTAAAAGCTAATTTCAAGTTACTAATCTTAAAAATTTTATCTCGGAACTTTTCCTCTCAGTTTTGGCTCAGGATATGTTTATACTTAAGATTGTGCGAATCGCATTAAACTAATCTCAAGCTTGATAAGTACATAATTTTATCTTGGCTTTAAACATACTTCCGTAAGTAATGGCAATAACATAGTATGAAATAATATCTGTAAAATACAATCGCATAGTCTGCGATTTAGCTTTTCTGACAACTTTCGTATTTGCGGAATAAGTTTAGCAGTTGGTGTGCCGCAGGGAATTTATAAAATGAAAAGCTATCCTTTTAAAACTTAATTTTCTAAAAGCATTTTTTCTGCGATTTAAATTTATCGCATTATCCATTTGAATGAACTGCGGGTAACATTTTTAAAATTTTAACACGAGTATTCTGGAATAGCCTTTTAGTATCGCTAACCATTTATCCACTATATGAGTTGAAATTAAATACTGATAATTAAACTTTATGAAATCTTAAAACTTTACTATCCAATCATAATCACTCTGCGATTAAAATTGCCAAACTTTGAATTTTCAATGTAATTTTTATTTCTGTACTCCGATGTTAGCGGAAAAGGATTGTAGTGGTAATTTGATAGTCATTTCTTTATTTCGTGTTTAGCAATCGCTTCTACGCAAGTACCTTCGGAAGTTTTTTTTCCCGATGCAGTTTTCTGAGCCGCATGAACTCCTCTAAGTAAGACTTCAAATGGTGTTTTGCTGTATTCTTAGGTTTCTTCTTCCGCCCTTTAGTTCGTTTAGTTTAGTTCTTAGGTTTCTTCTTCCGCCGTTTTTTCTTCCGCCTCATACCAACTGGGTATTTTGCATATGAACACCGCAATGTGCAAATTGTAATACTGATAGTTACTTAGCGATATATTTTCTTGGTAAACTAATAGAATCACCTTTATTGTTTGGTGTATACCATGAGCGGCCGAAAAATAAAGTCGTTGAATATTGGTAGTTCGGACCTAGGTTTCGATTCCAAGCAAGTGGGCTGGTTGCATCGCTGTTTCCGTGATTTTTCCCATGTATTTTCCTTAGAAAGACCTCCACGAAGGCATTTTCTCCTTAGGCAGATAATACTAGTATGCTTTGCCTTAATTAACCAAGCCATAACCAACTCATAGCAGCCCATGATCTTCCGAAATAAAAAAAAACCTTAAATAAAAAAAAATGTTCTTAAAACTACCACCTAGCCTCGAAGACGGTATAGTGGTTAAGGGAGACGATCGATATCAAACGGCCGGGGTTCGTATCTCGGAGAAGGCTGTAACTGTCCCTCCCTCCATAGGAGGCAAAGGTGGCTTACGTATTAGATGCCTCTATGATAAGTGACCACCGCTTCTGGTTTTGGTAATTGCCAAGCCGAAGTCGGCTGAAAGTCTGCGATTGTTTAAAAAACTCTGGCTTGAAACATGGGGTTGTCGTACGATTGCAATAGCGTAGGTGTTTTCAAAACTCTAAAAATGCATATACATTTATTTAAATTTAGATTATTTTTAATGTTCCATAAATTAAATAAGAAAAAGTAATTTTATTCATGAACTATAACTAAATTCTAAAATAAATGACTGACCTCTTTCCCTCCTTGAACCTATTAAATTCTCACCAAGGGGGAACCCCTGCAATAGCGAATGTCTTGTTATGGTGGCGCAGTAGCCATTTATTCGCTTTTTATTGGCGAATATTAGTTCTCCATTAACATGTAAGTACTCTGCACACACAAAAAAAGTACAGTTCTAAATCTCGCGTTCTACTGGGCGTATTGACGAAATTTAACTCTTGTTTGTCATGTCTCGAAACCGAGACTTAAAATATATGCTATGTGTGTGATTATGGCAAAGCCTCGAGGGCTATCTGCCTGTGGAAGACTTTCTAAGGGAAACTGGCTCGTATATACGTTACACATGGGGAAAACCACGAAAACGCCCATGCAGCCAGCCCCTTCACGGGATTCGAACCTCGGACCGAACTACCACCGCTCGGCCGCTGGTGGGCCGGATATATGCTGTATTTATACACAGCATTGTTCTAACAGAGGTATTTTGACATTAAATAACTTTCCTGAAATAATATACCGATCTTTCCATATTAGTTTGAATTTTTATAGATTGTGATTATGCCAAGTTCTATAAAAATTCGCACGAGTAGATTTTAAATTACCTCTCGGAAATTTAGCTCTTTAATGCTAATTCAATTTGATATGTAATTGCCTTTTTATTAAACTTGATTCATTCTTTTGCAGTTCGAAAATTTAGTATCAACCTAAATAAAATTTGCAGATATGATT